GACGATCCAGTGGGCAGCGCGGCCGACGACCCCGATCGACGACCCGTCGCCTGCGGGGGGCGCGCTGCCAGTCGATCTGGGCCCCATCGCAGAGACGGAGGTGCGCGCGGTGGCGCTTTCTCTGGGGCTTCCAGCCAAGACGGCGTGCCTGCCGAGTTCTGGAAAGCGATGTGCGAGAGGGGTTCTTCGGCCTGCGAGTGGGCGGTTTTGCTTTGCAGCCGATGCTGGGAGTAGCCCCGCGTGCCGGACGCTTGGCGCGAGGCCGTCGTCACCGCGATCTTCGAGAAGGGCGACGCAGCCGATCGTGCGAGCCGGCCCATATCGCGACTGCCAATCGGGCGCCAGTTGCGCGCTCTGGTGTTGTCGGCGCGTCTGGAAGACGCGGGCGCCGAGCGGCGCATTTGGAAGACGCAGTTCGGCTTCCGTTCTGGCGCTGTAACCGCTGGCGCTCTCTCCATTGCCACGCGCCTGATCGAGGGCGCGCTGGTGACGAAATCGGGCTCATTGATCTTGCTCGCGCTGGATTGGGCCAGCGCCTTCGACGGCATATCGCCAGACAGCCTCGTGCTCGCGCTCGTTCGCTTCGGCGTGACTGAAACATGCGTGGCCGCAGTGAAGTCGATTTGCAGCAACGTGAACTTTCGCGCGAGGGATGCCGGGGCCACCTCCGAGCCGCGCGCCCAGCGTTGCGGAATCTCCCAGGTCTGTCCGCCCCCCCCCCCTTTGTTCTCAAGTGTGATGACGCTGCTGATGCGGGACGCAAGCCGCGACCTGCTCCGCAAAGGCTTGTGCCAGGGCGACCCGTTACATCTCGGCGAGCTGATCTACGCAGATGGCGCCTTGAATGTCGGGGTTTCGGACGGGTGCGTGCGCGGGATGATGGGGGGCGTCCGGATGGCGGGAGGTAATTGCGGTCTAGCTTTGAGTGGGGTAAGTTGGAGCTCCTCGCAGTCGGTTGCCAGACGCGCATCCTGCGCCCGGATGGCCAGTCCGTCTAGCAAAAGGACAACGTGATCTATTTGGGCGGCGTGATCAGCTCCAGCGGCGACAGCGGCGCTGAGCTCACCGTCGGCTCGGGATGGCGCGGGAAGACTTCGACGTGCCGTGCGGGATCTGGAAGCACACGAGCATAAGTTTGGATCCGAAGGTGAAGATCTTCGACGCGTGCATCGCGGCGAAATTGATGCGCTGCATGCGCGCCGCGTGGATCGACGCGGCAGAGCGTTTGAAGTTGGGCGCTTTTTCCGAGCCCACTGCCCGCGAAAGCTCGCGGGCACACCACGCCCGTGCATCAGTCGCATATCGAATAAAGTTATCTTGAACACTTGCGGCAGTGCGCCTCTGAGTTTCACTCTGATGTGCCGGCAGCTCCTCCTGATGAGGGAGACCGCGACCATGCCGGGCGAGAGCGCCATCCGGAGATTTGTTTTTTATGCCAGGCGCGACCGCGCTGGCGCGTCCCTTCGGCGCACGGTGGCGCGGCAATCCGAGGGACTCGTGGCAAATATATGTGTGTGTGTGTGCGACATGGCGTGCTGGGCGTCTGGCGGACCGCAGGCCTTGAGCATTCTGTGGCCGGAAGGGCTGGATGCCTGGCGGTCGGTCGCCAAGAGCTTCAGCGCTGCGCTGTAACGCGGCAGTGAATTATTAGACTTTCTTTCGATTTTACCTTGCATGCTTCGCAGCATTGCCGTTTCACTTTCGCCACTGCACCTATGATGTGCATGGCGTCTCTCTCTCTCTCTCTCTCTATCGCCTGCCTGCTTTGCCGCAGTAACTTGGCCGCCGCCGCTGAAAAACGGTTCGAGACCACGTGCGACATCGCAAAAGGAGCCGCGCGCGCCCGCGTTTCTCTCTCTGAGATATTTTTGGGCGCTGCGTTTTTTCCGCGCCGGGCGTGTTCGCCCGGTTTCGAGCCCCAGGGCCATCACATATCGATGCGCAAAAAGAGGGGGTTCAGGGCTCCAGTCGTGGTTCTTGGTGATGTTGCATGTCGCAACGCTAGATCTCAGGGGGTGGGGCGAGGAGGGAGGTCTAGAGTCATGATGCTGATGCCCTTTCTTTGAATTTTTGTCGGGGACCTCCTTGGGGCTCTCGTCGCCACGGCCGGATTCGCTTCGGAACTGGTGAGGGCGCGCCCTGGGAGCGGTCCAAGGAGCGGTGGTATCGGCATTTTTTCTGTTGCCCCAGGGGTCTTGTTGCAAGTTTGCGCGCTGTTTCTGATGTCCCTCGCCACCCTTGATTATTCCAGCTTTCGGAGTGCCTTCGGGGGAGGGTGTGGTTTTTCCAAGCCACCAGCCTCGGTCAGGCTTGCGGGCAACAGAGGGGCGTCTTCGCATCGTGCAGCTGCAGGGGAGAAGATGGTCGGAGGAGATGCGGGGGAAGGGGGGTGGCAATGAGGACAGCGGGGCGCGGAGGAGGCATTGGAAGAGCAACGGGTGAGAAACTGTGCGGGTCCAGGTGGCGCGATACACCGGCGTGTGTGGCTCCATCTTTTCAGGCCGTGCTGCTTGCTTGCTTGCTGCGTTCGCCTTGTCTTTGCACGCCAGCGCCTCCGAGAGAGCAGGAGGAGGGAATCCGCTGATGCAGTGTGTACAGAAGATTACGTGTATGTGTATATGTAGAGAACTTGTAAATGTCAACCGATGATTTTTCTAATCAAATAGTGCTTGCACTAAGGGGATAGTAGTTCTTTTCTAGGAGCTGGGCCTGCCCGTGCGTCTGGCGGCTATGTGCTCGCCGTCGCCGCCCCGTCGCCGCCCCGTCGCGGTTTCGTCGCCGCTCGTTGTCTGGGCCTGCCCGTCGGTCTGGTGGCCATGTGGTCGGCGTCACCGCCCTGTCTCCGTCTGGGCCTGCACTACTCCGCACTGCTTTGGGTTGCCGTGCCTAGCATGTCATTGATTTGCAGCACTCTCTTTGCGTTGCACTGCGCTGCTCAACGCTGCTTTGCAATGTTTTGCCTTGATTTGCATTGTCTTGGATCTCTCTGAATTGCTTCGCATTGCCTGGCATTGTTTTGCGTTACTTTGCATCGCTTTGCATTGCGTCGCAATGCTTTGTTTTGCTTCGCATTGTTTTGCATTACCTTGCATTGCTTGGCATTGCTTTGCATTGCTTTGCATTGCTTGGCATTGCTTTGCATTGCTTGACTTAACATTGCGTTGCATTGCTTGGCATCGCTTTGCATTGCTTGGTCTGGTTTTTCGTTGCTTTGCATTGCTTTGTATTGCTCTGCATTGCTCTGCATTGCTCTGCATTGCTCTGCATTGCTGTGCATTGCTTTGCATTGATTTGCATTGCTTTGCGTAGTTTTGTTTGTATCGCGTTGCATGCATTGCACTGCTTTGCTTTGCATTGCTTTGCATTGCTTTGCATCGCTTCGCGTTGCTTTGCATTACATGGCTTTGCATTGCTTGGTGTTGCGTTGCGTTGCGTTGCGTTGCGCTGCGTTGTTGTGCATTGCTTTGCATTGCTTTGCATTGCTTTGCATTGCTCTGTGCTGCTTTGCATGGCTCTGTGTTGCTTTGCATTGATTTGTATTGATTTGCGTCACTGCATTGCAATCGCATTGCTTTGCAATAACATTGATTTGCCATGCTTTGATTGCATCGCGTTGCATGCCTTACGTGGCTTTGCTTTGCTTTGCATTGCTTAGCGTTGTGGTGCGTTGCGTTGCATTGTTGTGTATTGCTATGCATTGCTTTACATTGCTGTTGCATTTCTTTTTGCATGGCTTTGCATCGCTTCGTATCGCTTTGCATTGCTTTGTATGCTTTGCATTGCTTTGCATTTCTTGACATTGCGTTGCGTTACTTGGCATCGCTTTCATTGCTTTGCATTGCTCTGCACTGCTCTGTATCACCCTGCGCTGCTTTGTATTGCTTTGCATTGCTTTGCATTACTTTGAATTCCATTGCATGGCTCTGCATTGGCTTGCATTGCTTCGCATTGCTGGGCATCAGTATGACTTGCTGTGTATGGTGTTGCGTTGTTTCATGTCTTTGTATTGCGTTGATTTGCATTGCTTTGCGCCAAATGTATTACCCCTCATGGGTGGCACTACCCAGACGGCACTACATCGATTACACGAGCTGCTGAATTGCACCGCCTCGGTTGCGATTAATCACTCTTAGGGGTCCACCCTGACACACATATAGTTATCATTCGCTATTCAAGACTCCTGCGGCGAAACACAGTCGCCCCCTGCCTTTTCGGAACGCGGGTGTGGCCAAACGCTGCTGTCCCTCAGCCGTTTTGGAAACCCGTTGGGGGAACCCCGAGGGAGGAAGAGAGGGATGAGGAGGGGGCGGAGGATAATGAAGACGAGGATGCGGAGGAGGAGGGAGAGGAGGAGGAGGAGGAGGAGGAGGAGGAGGAGGAGGAGGAGGAGGAGGAGGAGGAGGAGGAGGAGGAGGAGGAGGAGTAAATATGCTCCTCTCCGCCTCATACTCAATTAGAGCTTAACTTAGCTTGCATGCGTTGCACTGTCCGCGTGAATTGAATCTGCGTTTCTGCAGCCATACAACTGCTCGAACCAGCCGACCTCGGCTGGCAGGAAAGGAAAGGAGCTTGCTGGGGCGCGCGGGCGATTGGTCGTCGTCCGTCCTCGGCCTTCCTCCTCCCTTCATATTCCTGATAGAGTAGTCTTGCTTAACGGGTACTTGTCTTATCAATGTCTCATCCCGCCTCCGCTCGCCCTGAGCAGAGTGAACATGAGATCTTAATTCCTTTGTCATCTTACCCCGATTCTCAGAGGAAAGACTGGTTATCAACCGAAACGCGCGACTCAGTCGACGCGGGGCCATTAGATACAAAAGAAGATCTTTCAGTCGTGCCCCGCGATTCAGTCGCTGCGGGGGAGAGCTATGATAAGATTAATATCGTGTCTAATATCTCGAGAAGCGCTGATGGGCGCGTTGAACAACATGATGGACACGATACAGATAGAGTCGGTCCTGTTCAAAACCGAATCCCTCCTTCATCTGTCGCCGATCGGGTCATGAGGGGGAGAAGTACCGACGGGGTAACCGAAATGTCGGTAGACGTATCCCCCGTAGGGGCTCCGATAGGTGATCGTGAGCATACCCTCGACCCTCACGGGCGAGAAGGCGTCGCGCCAAGGCCCAGGCGAGGTGCATTCTCTTCGAGGCGGAATGCCAAATCGACGGAGTCAATAAGTCCCATCCAGAATACTCCACAAACTACTGCCATTGCCGCTGGCGAAGCCAGCCGGCCAGGGGAGGCCCAAGGGAATCCGAATACGTATCCTATTATCCCCGTAGAATGGGTGGGTATGCATGTTGCTGCCCCAACCCCTATAGCACTGAACGGACAATTCGGTCAGGATACCGATGATCCGATAGACAAAGATCACGAAATCTATTCCATGGAGGAAGATTCTTGGTAGTATCAATAATGATATTTCCCCGAGCCGAGCGTTGTCCGTGATGATAGAAGAAGGCGTCCCTGCTCAAGACGAAAGGTGGTCTCCAGATGGATCCGATGAAGACACTCGTATCCTGGCGCCTCAGGCGGACAGGACGGAGACTCAGACGAAGCATGAGAGGGAGTCCACTGGGCGAACTCCTGCGCCTAACCTCAAGAAACAACGGAATGAGGACTATGAACTAAACGTCTCGCCATTAAAGGAAGGCGTCTTCCGTAATGCCACCGCCTCAGGTGAGAGGCAACCCACTATTCCAGCTGTTGTTGAGGATGAAGAAATGGTCGGACAACAAGATATATATGCTCAGCTAATCACACAAGACGAAAAGGATGAGGAGCTTTTTCAATGCGCCCAAACCACCAGAAAGTACTTTTACTCGCCCCAGGTCGAATGCTTCGAGCAGGGGAAGACCCGCAATGCCAAGATCAGGGGCGAGGTCTACTTCAAGGAGCAACAGTACAGTTTCTATGATGGAGGCATGTTGGAATCCCAATCCTGGCTGCGCGCCTCAGGCGGAGAACAGATGCCCAGAAAAAGCTAACAAGCCTGAAGGCGCATGTAGGAACCCAGTGTGCAGGAGTTGCTCGGACGTTTGCAACAGGTGTAACGTGCAATGGCTGCGTAGAGTGCTACCCAATGGGCGAGCGCAATTGCACGTGCCTCCTCGTGCAGCCTATTCAGGGCCAGGCCAGGCTAGCAGAGGCTAACACTCAGAGAGAGTTTCTGACTAATGAGGCGCATCTGGCTGAAAGGGCTCGACTGGACAGAGAAGAATTAGCTGAAACTGTGATCGAAGCTGGAACAGCGTTTGAGGCTGAGCGGATCGCCCTAGCCATGGCTGCTAGAGAGCGTGAACAAGCGCTGATAGAACATCTGTACAATCAGACTGAGGCCGTGACATGGCAAGTGGAGAGGGAAGCAGAACATGCATGCAGAGAATTGTTGACTTCGGAGAGACGGGCCGTCATGATGGCGGACGAAGAATCTGCGGACGCCCATGCGGTTGCCGCTGCCGTCGCAGTGGCCAAGACAGAAGGATGACGAATCGCGAAAGCCGTGGCGGAACGAGAAAAGCAGGGATTACAAGAAGAGCTCAAAGCCGCCAGGCTGAAAGCAGACAACACCCAAGCTGTAGCTGCGAAGATAGCCAATCAGAACAATCTCTAGGTGGAAGAGCTTAAATCGCATGAGGAAGCCAGATCGTCTCTTCAGCGTGTATTGTCGAGCAATGCTAAATGCCCGCCGGCTAAGCCGATCGGATCGAACATACACCAGCTATCGACGGCCCAGTCGTCGAGCAATGTATCTGCCCCTACGCAATTCGATCAGACGACCGTGGCAAATGCGGGAGCATCGACCATGCTGGTGGGAGGTGCAACTCGCCCTCCTCCCGATGGGAAAGGAAACGCGCTTCCCGTGGATCAGTTTTGTGCCGTTTGCTTTCGTCCGAAGGCAGACAGCTGCGTCGGATGCGGCAGCTCGGCGTGCGACGAACATATCGATGCGAGTACGAGGAGATGCTCTAGATGCGACCTGTGGAAGAGTGAAAGGTCAGCGGCTAACGTGCGAGAAGAAGAGATTGCTTTGAACGCGGCTAATATAGAGAAAGGAAAGATGAGGCTTAATTAAGGCTATCATCACCGACCCGACTCCGTATACTGAAACTAAACTTGAAGCCGGACTCACATCGAAGTCGTTCGGATTACCGTTGTTTTCGCAAGAACCCCCCGTGGGGCCGCTGTTGCGTCGACATTATTCTGTTCCAGGCCCTGCCCTAGAAGGTCCGGCTAAGCCGAGCGCCGCTGAGAGTGGACTCCCTGCAGGGATGAGGCTAGCTGGACTTAACAAAGATAACGCTCTTGCCAGTCTCCGCCCAACCTATGGAGACGGTCCTAAGGGAATGACGGCGACTAAGTCGTCGGGCAATGCAGGACAGGGCGGAGAAGAGGACGACAAGAGCGACGCTCCCAACGCTGAGATCGTATCTTCGCACGAAGATGATCGTGGTAGAGGACCGCAAGGATCGCCCCCGGGGAGTCCAGGGGGGTCAGACT